TTTATTCATAAACTAGTCATTTAGGCTCTACAAAATATGTTTAAAATTCTTTAAAAACATTTTGAACACTAGGAGGGGGATTAGCAGAGATGATACTCGCCTGGGATTGTAGGAAAACGTGTTAGAAGCAACGTTGAAAAAGATCTCCACTCCAAAAGCCAAGAATCACCCAAAAATCCACTTGAAAGCCTTCAATCTTCTCCAAGAAATCAAACTAGGGTTTGGGGGGTTTTGGTGGTTGTTAGGGTTCTTAGGAAAACTCAAAAAACATGAAAAACTCATATATATATCAGGGGAAAACGGATATGGGTTTAGAAATCTGAAACCAACTCAAAACAGGAGAAAAAGCATCTGCAGGTATAGCGGTCGACCGTGGCGGTCGACCGCAACGGTCCACCGGACCGAACATTTCCAGTTTTTATATGTTTGGCCATTTGTGCATGTTTCAACTCTTTTCTCTCTCATGTATGAACTCGTTCATACTCAAAACACATAGTATTATACTCATATACCATTTAATGATATTTATCGTACTAAATATCCACATATCATAATTTATCATACATTAATTATATTATTCATAAATTATCGGAGTTTTACACTCAAGGACCATCTGATAATGACATAGATAGACCAACAATTTTGGTCAGGATTGTGGGTCTAAATATTCATTTCGAGAGAGGTTTCCAGATTAGTGCACTACAGACTTATAAATCTACACTTGTCATATTGACTGCATGTAAAACCCCGTGAATTTGAATATTATATGATAAATATCTTATTTGATGATAAATAACATATTTTGATGTTTGAGTATGCTAGGAATTGATTTGAGATCAATTCAATGTATATATGTGAGTAAAGGAGAGAAACATGCACAAACATGCACGAAACCAAAAAAACTGATAAGTCTCTGCTAAGTTGACTTATGAGTCCACTTACCATAAGTCGACTTGTGACACTGATAAGTCGACTTATTAGGGGGATTTCCCGCATTACTGCGAGTAGTCCTCCTTTCTGACATTGGTGCAAGGAGAGGGGCAGGAGTAGGAGTAGTATTACCTAGAGTGGAGGGTGGTGTAGGTGTCTCAGGAGTTGGAGCAGAGCTGGATGAGGAACTAGGCACTGACACAGTTACTATAGGCACCTCTAGCTCCTTCCCCCTCCTACTATATGTAAGCAACTCCCCTAGAGCTGTAGGCCTAACACCCCTTGTCTCCTCCTCCCCTTCGTCTTCATCCTCCTTCTCTACTGAGTACGGGATCGAAATTGGGATTGACCCCCTTGAGCTCTCATCATTCTCCCCCTCTCGCCTCATACCTCCAGTATCAGGCAAGTCTCCAAACGGTG